GAGAAAGATTTAAATAGCTTTGGCTGCACTTTTGAAAAGCAGTACTTAGCTTCTGTAGATGATCCAGTTTATCTTCCAATTGACCCCTTCTCCCTTCAGTAAAATACGATTTAACCCACTTGATTCATTGCTGACAAATGGGGAAAAAGCCTGTTTAGTTTTCCCAAATTTCTGGGTGAGAGACCAAGCAGGAGTCATTAACAGACTCCTATAACCTTAATTCAGCCTTGCTGCTAATCAAAGCCTGGCAAAAGGTTTGCAAAGGCTTTTCTGCTCTGCCATGAGGGCCGCTTTCTGGAGGGGACAGTTCCGGAGGGAATTACGAATTGACTTGGACTCTCAACTCTTCTTGAATGTGGCAGATTCCCGTCTGCACTTGCTAACAAGTATGGATTTCAGCTGTTGTAAATCCTACATGAAAGCTATTGAGCATAAAATATATTCTAGACAGCACGCTCGTCAGTGAGAGCAGCAAGATGCTATAGCAACTTCATAATGACAAAGTTCGTTTATTTTTAACAGTATCCTCAGAGCTCTGAAGCAAAACCTCAGAGCTCAGTAAAGCTCACTCACTCCAGAATGGTTCAAAATACTAAGTGGCTTGTGTGTTTACTTCTGGCTCGTGGTTGCATTTCCTTGTTCAACAGCGAATATCATAGTCACAGCTTCTTCCTACCTGAGAGTTTTGAATCTTTGTGTTCCTCCCACTTCTCTCTTTCTCGCTGTCATGTCACATGCCCCTGGCACTCCTCTCGTTGTTGAGCTCTTTCATGACAACTAGCTGTCTGCTCTCATCTCTTTGACCAGACTGGTTCTTCTCCTGATGGACCTTTGCTGGTGTTAGTGGATAATTGCATTCTTTAGCCTTTGAGATCTAAATAAACAACCTCTCATAGTTCCTCACAGCCATGCCTGATGACAGGTCTCTTATCTCCTGATAAAACCACTTTGCCTGGAGTACTTGCAATGCTCCTCCTTCACTGCTTCTGCTGTTCATGGGAGACACTATTCTCACGCTGTGCTCTAAGGTCTTTCCTTGTTACTCAATCCCTGGCTATTAAAAAATACATATAGCGGGTCACTTCATGCATGCAAAATTAGCTTCCATATGCTCCCTTCCACTGGGCCACCTTTCTAATGATTTTTTGTCTAAATTAAGTTGTAAGGTTCTTCAAGATCACATCCTCTTTTAATCTCGTAATGTTCTCTATTATGATTCTTGTAAAAAGAGATCTGGTTTTGACTGCTTACAATGGGATCACCCATTTTACTCTCTTAACACTTCCTTCTTAACTGAGAATTGTGGGATTTTCGAGGGCATAGGTCTTTGATCTTTGAGTAAGTTTGATTTGTAAATATAATTTTCTTAAATAGCAGATTTAGATTTTAACTTCCACATTTATTTCTTCCATTGTTTAAAACTGTAGCAGGTTTTCAGGACCGAAGTTCTTTTTTTTCCTCCCGAAGAACTTCATAAGCACCTGGAGTTTTGATTTTATGTAATGTAATGGGTTTTACCTTAGGTAATTTCATTTTCAATATTTTATCTTTACATATAAAACATGGTTAATATTAAAGAGAAGTAAAATTGTAGTGCTGCCTGGTATGCATAATTTATATCACCTGTTCTTCTGTTTATTTCACAGTCTATTTTTTACTACAGTGTTCAGTTTCTGCCTTCAGGCAGAGTGTTAGTACAAGTCTAATCTCTGTAGTTTCTGCTATGAAACTTAGACATCTTTAAAGGCTCTTGAACTTCTTTTCATTGATTGTTGTCTTTCTGCATTTTTACTATTGCTAAAAGCAAACAAAAGCTTATTCAAAATGGTACCTAACTTAGCAAATCCGTAAGAAAAACACCATTTTCTTAAATTCTTTTGAAAGTAGATAAAAATTAGAGGTTTGAAAAGCACTGTTCAGATTTAACTTAGCAAGCAACCCTGTCAGGATTATCCATGCCTAATAAGATCTGAATAGAAGGGAACATTCTGTCTTGTTCCATTTGTATGTTTAGTTTTGTTTCTTACTGGTATGTCCTCCCATTGCTGGCTCTTCACAAGTTCATAAGAAGGTTCTGTTAAATCAAATTTCGGAACAGGGAAACCAGGAATGGCATTGTGCAGATGGAAGCCGAATGTCACCAGCCAGCTGTTAACATCTGAAAGAGAATTATTAAAGGAAAAGAGAAAAATATTACAATTGTTCTATATTTTGCAATCATACCATTTTTACATGGAATAGTTTTTGGCATAGTTGATTTCCTTTTGTAACATGAAAATTATTCAACAGTTTTTGTTTTGATATAGATGGATTTAGATTTGTATTACAGCTAGAACAGCAAGCCTATGCAGTAAACTTGAAGTTCTAAACTTACAAAAACCCTTCTGTTCTATGTAAGAATTGCACTATGCTCGTTTGAAAGGCATTGCAGGTTTCAGCAATTCTGAAGGCCTCAGTGACTTCCAGAACAACTACAGGAGCACAATTAAAGTGAGATTTCCTCCTAATATAACCTAAGCTAATTGGGATTTTATGGTCAGGCTGAACACGCTCTATGTCACACCTTCATCATCAATACTTTAAAACAAAGCAAAAAAGTACTGCAAAGCACATCCTGTCCTTTTGTTATGTATGTATTATTGTAACATATACGTAAATTCAAACTACCTCTGAAATAACACCTACACAGTCAATTACCTTTTAAATGATTTGGCAAATATTTTATGTTGATTCAAGAGAAATCTCCCCCTCTTCAAGATGAAGTTGGACCGATGAAATTAAAAGCTAATGAAATGTATTACAGTTGCATCAGTAAGCAGACTAAGGATACTAAATCAGCATTAGATAACATTATTTATGATACATTTTATCTTCTGTTAAAAATAAATAAATTAGGGATGCCAACAATTAATTAGTTAACAATTGTTGGGCAAGAATGGGTGCTCTGCCTTGTTTCTGTCTTTCTACTCTATCTTTCACAAATACTAAGCTTGCAGAAGTTGGCAGAGTGCACCTTACCAAGTCTAGTAGTTTTCATTTAAGAAAATTCCAAATAAGTGGAACAAGGAACCAAATTTTTCCAAATGTTAAAAGAATAAAAAATATTTACCTTAAAATAACTTCTAACCGTTCCAGATAAATGATACGCCTCATGAGGCTCTGCATCTAAAACTGCCAGTCAGCCAAATTACTCATTGTAATGATAACCTTATATGAACAGTGTGTGTCTATGTATTCCATACATCAAAGATGTTAAGAAAAGAACTAAAATTATATTTTGAGGGCAATTTTTGAACTAAGTGCATCATTTTCAATGCCACAAAGAATCTGATTGCAACTGCATCCCCTACAGCACATGCTGCTAAAAGAGGACAGATTCAAAGGGCTGTTATTATCCTTGCTCCCAGGCAGCCTGTTAGCAACCCTGTTAATAGCTGCTATGTGTTAAATTAACGCAAACCCACTTGATTCCCAGGATGCTTTTCTGAGTGAGTAAGTGAGGCTGAGCCCCTCCTGTAGTCCTGGCACTGTGTAAAATATTTTAGAATATTTACATTTATTCAAGTATGAAAATTCAAATGTATCTGAGCAATGCATTTTTCAGAAACTTCTGGTGATGTGCAATCAGATTTTTCTGTATGTAGAACAATGGAAACCGCTACACATCACTAACTCTAGACCCACAAAAAGAATATAGGTTCCCTAAGAACTCAGTTATACAAGAAGCGGCATGTTAGCAGCTTTTTGTTGTCAAAAGAGAAATTCACACTCCTTTTCCCTACTCCTGGCTGTGTACTCATTACTTTGTGCTGGCCCTGGAGCTTACTGGACTTCTCTTTCTTAGCCAAATTACATTAGTAGCCTTGCAAAAACCTACCCTGGAAAATATCAACCAACTTCCAGTGAATATTTGCTGCTATGTTAATGAGTTAAATTGGTCACAGAAAGACCCTGCCTGCCCTTGCTACCTTACAGTCTCACTCCCTCTTGTTTTTGGTCTTTTTGGTCTGTGAATATGCACTTTTTACTGCTCAGTAGCCCAGAGCCATGAAGGAGCCTGACTCTAATCCACAGGTAAGGAGATTCTCATGAACGGTCTTGAGGGGTTCTTACTCTTGTACTTGCTCAAGGAGTCTGGTTTTTTCATTATAAGAGCATTGGGTAATGCGTAACAGTATTGGAAGGAGAATCTAGGGCTCCTCTTTCCTCTCCCAATGCACTGAGATCTCTAGCTGAGGCACCTTTTGTTACAGTTCAGTCAGTGGGAGAGGAAGAGATGTATTCCACTGGAACTTCAAAATGTACTTTAGAAAACCCAACCCCTCTGTATACTGAGATGCTCTGAATTATCTTCTTGGGTCAACAGTCCAATATTAAAGCACCATAAAGACTGTGTAGGGCACAAGGTTTAGGTTTAGCTACCTAAACCTGAAAGCTAATAAAGGCCTGTGGATCTTAATCTCTTATGCAGGTACCTAAATCAATGCCTAAAGCTAGATGAGATATTTTCAAGATCTCCCATTTGCTATTTCACTGTTTCTGATAAGCGTGTTTGCTGTAATTATTCTCATTGTTAAGTGCTTAATGCTTCCTCATAAAGAGCTTTTCCAAATAGGACATATTTAAGTACTTCACCAAAATTGTGAATTGCAGTCTAAACTGGATGTCTATAGGTCCAGCACCTCCAAGCTAACATCACTTTGTTGATCTGGTTCTAAATGCCAAGTACATTTCTGAACAATTATCTTCCCTGAGAGTTTCTTTACTAACCTTCCCCAGACGCTATCGTCAAACTATAACCCAGATATTGATTCCAGATTATGAGAAGACACAGAAAGGCAAATTTTTGAGCAAGTGGGAGACAGTCTTGCAATTAAGTAACCTTTTACCTGTGATATAATCCTTCACATCATGTATTTTACTGGCTGGGTTGTTATTTCTAAACATGTACAAATTAAAAGGAGCTGGATCCTTCCCAATTCTCTTCCAGATTTCAATATCAGGTGTTGTCCACCGGCCTGCCAGTATGTCATAATCTCTTTCTCCGAAGTGGACTAGCTTGGTCAGTGGGTCGTATAAGCCTCCGTGGAATCCTATTACCAGCTGGAAGTCAAGGTTAGAGTCGAAATAGATCTCCCCATAAGCAGTGTATTGAATTTGTTTAAGCATGAGACCATTGCTACTGAAAACAGCCAGTGGTGTTCCCGTATTGTCTGATGCAATGTAAAACTCGTCTCCGCTGCTAATTTCCATGGCAAAAAGGTGTCCTTGCAGATCATAGTAAAGAGATGTGATTTCAGAACTTGAGTGGTTATATACATGAGTTATCCTGGTTGGGTAAGTAAGGTCTGCATAAAAAAACTGGAGATGCTGTCCAAGGCTAGTTTTACTGGAAACTCGTCGTCCAAGTCCATCATAACGGTAAATCACCGTCCACCCACTGCCTTTGCTATAAACTCGAGTAAGAAGGCCCTTGGAACTGTATTCAAAGATTTCAGTACCCCTCTGACGCAGAAATCCATCTTCATCTAATCGGTACTGAACATCACCTAGTCGAGTTATTCTGTCTCTCAGATCATAGCGAAGTGGCGTCAAACGGGCACTGCTACTGGGGTTGAGCAAGTGGAGATTGCCATTCAGGTCATAGTTGTATCGCCACATTATTTTTTCATTCAGATAAACTGTCTGGAGCTGACCATCTACATCATATTCATAAGCATATTTTGTGGTGTTGGCAAATGGCCCGATCTTAATTTCTCTTTTTGTCACTCGTCCCATGTTATCATACTGAATTGTAATCCAATACATTAATGAGCGAAATATTTCATATTGAATTTCCTTGATGCGGCCATGTGCATCAAAATGTTTTGTGTAGGTCATTACAGCTGTCGAAATGATCTGGTTAATATCATAATATATAACTCCAAATTTTCCAAATTGTTCAACTTTGCCAGAGATATCATCAAACTGGTAGAGATCAATAGGCAATGGGGTTTCATTGATGACACCTTGCATGCTAGTCACTCTGAAGCTATTGTCATAGCTGTAGTCAAATCGGGCATTTACCATTCCGTCTTCGCTAAAGCGGAAAATCTGTCTGTCAATCAATGGGCCAATTTGCCTGTATCTAATGGTGCATATAAAACCATCACTTTGGAGGTTTACTGTTTTTAGGACTCCTGCTGTCTCATCATAAGTAAAACTAACTCTTGTACTATCATATAAAATTTCTGAGAGCTTGGTCTGCCGTCTGTACTTGAATAATACTCTTCGGCTTGTCCCCAGGAAAGCAGTTTGAAGGAGCTGCCCTTCTTCATTGTAGTCCATTATAACAGAAGCATTACTTTCCGGGGGGTTGTATATATTCCGGTAATAGCCAATGGAGCGGATAGTCTGCATGGTATGACGAGCAACACTGGGCATTGTGACAGCAGAAAGCCGATCCAACAAATCATATTCGAAGATATACTGCCGTTGGCTATGAAGCAGAAGAACCATTGACTGAAAATTAAGAACAGATTTTTACCATGTGACAAATGGTGGAGTACTCCCCCCCCCCGCCCCATATTCTGATACTATTTCTTCACAAAAATGTGACATTCCCACTTGAGAAAATTATCTCCTCTTTAATTGAGTTATCCTTGACCTTACATGTTGTTAACATCTCCCTGCCTAACTTACTTGGATGCTTAATTGTAAGGGGTTCTGTAATTAGTAGTTCCACATTCATAATTTGCTACTTGTTATGACTGTATCACTCTTTTATCAAGCGCTCACAGCTAAACAGCAGATTGTCAATGGATTCAGATAAGTCATGTTTAATATGGGAAGAAGTAAAACTGTCTTAGAGCCATTAACTCACGAGGAGAACAACATATGGGAGATACAATTTCTTCCCTACAATTAGAGATTATTTTGAAGAACTTGAATAGCCTGAGATCCCTGAATACTGTGGTTTTCTTCTGTAAGCTTTTAAGACATAGGCAAAACAATTGTTTGATTATTTCTATCAAAAGGAGCTACTCGGAATTATTCTGACACTTTTCTGTTGTGTGGCTATTATATATCATAGGTCTTGATTAAATTATGTCTGCAATGACTAGTAAAGAGTATTTGCTGAGTGACAGCTTCAATAGAAATATATTTAAACACCAGAAAGAAATGGATTCTCTTTTTGCATAGCAGGCATGAGATCTCGGGGGATTTTCACAGATATTTCTAGGGAGAGAGCTATCATTCAGCAATCGTATATAATGAAGATTCCTGATCTTTTGCCTATCTTTTATTTTGATGCTACAACACATAGCAAGTACAAATTTACAGCTATAACTATTTAGAAACAAGAGCTTTTCTTGGTAGTGAAAAAAAACAACAGTGAAGAATTTACAAACAAATTATTTTCAACTGAATTACACTGCAGAGGTCTAGTCCCTGTACATTATTTTGAGTGTTAAGATAAAAGGTAAATACAGATGCTTCTTGTTAGTCTGTGGCCTAAATAATTTAAAAAGACATCAATTCCTAGCAATTAGCTACAGCGTGATTACATATCTATTGTATAAAACATTTCCTTAGGAATCACATGTTGATACTTAGAATAATTGAAATGTGCTTCTACTACCTGTTTTTGCTTTGTATGCAGCAGTCAGATGCTTCAGAATTTCAGCACATTCAAAGCATTTTTTAAAACCTGAGTGTTCTTTACCTTTTCCAAATATGTGTAACTCCAAGTTTTCCCATCAGCAAACACTCTAGACACTATCCTTCCCTGTCCATCATACTCTATTTTTTCACTAGTCGTCCCTCGCTGTATGCTGCCTATTTGACCTGTGGATGAATAGGTAACATTGACAGCCATCAGCTTGCTGCTCGGTAGCCACAGGGTGGGGTGCCCTGACGTGTCGTAGGCAATCCTCAGCAGAAATTTACGGTGGTCATCGTAGATCTTTTCTGTCTTTGTGGTTCGATCAAAGTCAACTGAAAGGAGGTTTCTGCCATTAACCTTTTTAAAGCAAAGAAAATGACACAATAAATCATGCTGTTCAAACCTAGCCACTTACTATTTTCACAAAGCCAGCTATTCTTTAAATACCATTTACAGTGATTGATTTGCTGTGTGCGTAAATTATTTTAGCAACTTCTTGATAAAAATGTAAGGCACTACATTAGCATCTACTTTAGAAGGTCTCATTGTATGAAGAGATGGCCCAGAATTTGTTGCAATGTGTTCTTTCTTGATGCTTAGTCAACTGTTAAGAAAATACTGAAAGATGTGCACTGAAAACTTCTATAATAAATGGGGCCATTTCAGCGAACAAACTACTTCTTTTGTAGGCAGTCCAAAGTATATCTGCAAATTATTGTCAAAACATATTCCTAGCAACTGCTTGTCCAGTTCATAACAATCACGCTAAGAAAGAACTGAATCCTAATCCTCCACAGCAAGTATTTTTCAAAATGGTAAATACAAAATTAAGATCTTCAAAAGCACGTTAAATCTTCAAATTAAGATTAAACACTTTTTAGAACATAGGCTTTCTGCTTCTAGATCAAATGGAAGTTTAACTCAGTATACCATCCACAGCTGCAATATGTTTATGACGCTGAAATCCTTAGTAGGAGATTGTCTTGCGCCGAGTTAACTGACCACTTAAAGCCATAAATGACTGAACCACTGAAAACCAGTTATAAATGCTTTGAAGTTTATAACTGTTTTAATTTGAAATTAAAGCCTTAGCCTAGATATATTTATGTTGAAAACTGTATTATTTATATATGTAAACTACAGTGGTGGATAGTGATTTCTATGTAATACTTTTTACATTGAAGTCCCCCCCCCCTTTAGTATTCTAATTATCCTAACTTTCAGTTTCATTGAATCAGCTCTCATTTTTGTGAGATTTTTTGTGATTTTCCATGAAAGGAAAATGTCTGGTTTTCTTTTCCCACACTGGTATCTTTGCAATTCTCCATTCCCCCTCTGCATTGAACTGTTTTTTAGCGTTCTCAAACAGGCCTCTAGGATTTCTGTGTTCATCTGTAAACCATTTCTGTATCTGCTGTGTCCTTTTAAAGTTATTCAAGATGAGGGTGAAACACTGATAACTAAGATTTTTCAACACTGTATTTTGCTAACATATGGGAAGTAGGGGACAAATGGACATATAGCTATGTATATTGAGATTTTTTTTAAAGTTCCTTTTCAAGTACTTAATGCATACGTTACAAAGAGGTGAAGAAAGATGGCTAAATAACGTTCAGAAAAGAACAAGAAAACAGATATCCTGACCAAAGAAATGACTGGAGGATCTTTGCATTTCTGGGCTGCATGTTCAAAAATCCATATATCATGGACGTTGGTACTTACTTATACCCTGAGGCTGATAAGCTTCTAAAAGATCAATATAAATTAGATCCTTTATTATTGGCATAAAAAGTATTAAAGTGCTGGTGATGGGTCATAGGCAAGTATGAAAAAAAAATCCTACAAATGCTCAGTTTTGCTTATATCGGTTGGTCTGCCTGTCAATCATCTACGTTAGCTTTCTCTTTTTCAATATGAAATCACTGGCATGAGAACAATCTGCACTATCAATTTCAGAACAAAAATAATGTTTTCATGTAAATCTTCTAAATAAGAAACACAAAGTCTAGCAGATGGAGAATAGCTACTTTATATATTTAATGAGCCATCAAATGTTATTTAAATATACTTTGAAAAATTAATGCTACAAGACTGATTCTAGATGTAGGTTAAACTTAACTATGAAGCATTCCCATTCACTTCCTTTTTGTTGTTTTTTTTTTACTTTTTTCATTTTCAGGTAGCTTTTGTTTAAATTTTCCAACATTTAATATTCAATTGTTTACCTAAATTAAGTCTTAAATCTTGTTTATCTCTGGCTTTTATTTTCCAGCCTCTCCCACACATGCCTGCACTCATCTCTGCATCTCCCTGCCTGTTTTGCTTCTCTGATTTTTTTCCCCCCCTCCCTTTCTCTCCATCTTCCCTTCCTTATTTTACATTTAATTATGATTTTTATTAATTTTCTTGTCTACCTCTCCGGCTTAGACACTGAAGTGAGAATGGGCACTTCTGACTTGGCAAAGAGGAAAGGGTGGTTTTATGGTTAAGGCAGATGTCCAAGCAATTGTGGTTAATTTCTTGGCTAAGCACATCCTTCCGGTGTAAATTGCAGCAAAGTACTTAATCTGGCTGTCTCACTGCCTTATCTGCTAAATGGGATAATAACGTCCCTTAACTTCTCACTTTCCATCTGTCTGGTCTGTGTATGGGCAGGATAGGAGGGCAAAGAAAGGAAGTGCCTCTTTCTCCAGCCAGATTCATGCTTCCAGATTCTGCTGACAGAGCTCTTGCTTTCAGACATACGAGCTTTTGCTGAAATTTTGGCTGCGCTTGCATAATCTCGTAATACAGATGGCAATTATAACAACAACAAATTTTGGTGATATAGCTTCTTTCATTGGACAGTATGGGGCTGGAATAACGTATGTCAGCTGAAGTACTGCCTTCAATTGAAGCATCTCCTAACAACAGCTCTGCTACCAAAACACTTTCACAGCAAAACTTGAATGTTTTTATTGTGCCTAAGACAGTCACACTCGAAATATATTTAAAGCGTCTGGGTTTCATTATGATAAAAATATGTGGTGGGCCAGGTGCCCAGCAAGCCACTCTATCAC